TATGTTACGAATCGTCAATACGTTCTTTCTTTTCTTTCTTTTTTCTCTTCTTCCGTCTCTCTGCAAAAGAGTAGAATAGCGTGAGAGAGGGAGAGAGGAGAGAAAAAAGAAGACGGTGATCCGGGTGCGGTGGATCGTCGAGGAACATGATGGAAAGAAACGTAGCCGTTCTTCTTTCGTTGACGTAGCGACTTATACAAAGTAGGTAGAAAAGTGATAAAAATTCGTGTTCGTGTGTGTGTGCGTGTTACGTGAGTGTGTACGGTTATCTCTTCGTTTTTCATTTGTTTTCTTCCCCCCTCGCGTTCCTCTATTTTGTGCAAACCTCTTCTTTTTCCACCGTGAGAAACAGCGATAGCACTTGGGTTTAATCGTCGCGGGAGGGAGGACGCGCGATCTCCGTGACAACCGTGTCGAATCCATTGTATCACCTAAAACGTATAGTAAAAACGCTCGTTTCTCTCGCGACAGAGATGGGAAATATATATATATATCTTTTTTTCATCTTCACCATTGATCTACTCGTCGATCCTCGACGATCCGCCGAAAAAGAAACCGTGGATCCACCTTTCATTGCTTGGGCGTCTGTACTTTCGATAGCAAGAATAGTCGTTACATCGTACCAGTGTTAAAATAGTAATAGCAGTAATAATAGTAGTAACAATAGTAACAGTTGTCACGACGGGGCAGTCACGTCACTGCCCTGTGACACATCACGAAGACACGCGCCCCGTTCTCATCCACTCGTCTTTCTCTCACTCTCTCACGCACACGCATCCGCACACGCACAGGGAACTTTGTCTTAAATTTAGCTTGTCAAACCGCGTGTCTTCCGGCTCGTCGGTCCACTCGCGCGTGCATCCACTCCGGCACAGTGTCCAGTCGCACGATGCTCGATCGCATGCACACTCACGCATACACACACACACAAACACACCTATGTATATATGTATATATTCGCTAGAACATTCAAACGAATAAAAGGTAATCAACATCGATGGAAAATGAAACAGATTCGAAGGAAATCCGGTTTCATCGATCTTTCGATTTCTGTTGATATACGCTATAGATCGCGTTCTCTCTCTCTCTCTCTTTCTCGCACGTGAAGTGTACCGAGGTTCGTCGGACGCTTCGTAAAATCGTCCATTTTTTTTGTAAAACGGGTAGAAGATGGTAAAACGTACTCTGTACACGTGTAAGAAACGGAGGAAAAGAGGGAACTTGAAAGAAAAGAAAAAAAGAGTTCGATGGTACGCAACCGCACAAGAATAGTTGAATTGTTCTAACGCGACGAATTAGCCTTGGGGTTGGCCTCGATCAAACGCGATCTCCCATTTTAGAACGGCAGACTACCGACGAACATCGTCTCGATCATCGGCGGCGCAGGTACCAGATCCTCCAGTTTCAGGTAAAAGATACGCTGGAGCCCTTGCACCGACAGACTCCTCAGTTCTGGTAGTTTACCTAGCAAACGGGACAGGTAGTGCGCCTTCTTCTGTGCCTCTGCGTTGTAGGTCACATGATCGCGGAGGGACGAGATTATCTTCGATTGCAACTGCTCCATGCGATGGGGATCCTTCAGGCCGTACCTTGCTGCAATTTCCAGTGAAAACAAACACGTGTTAAGTGGAACAGGTTAATTAAGTGGAATTTTTGATCGTACAGATCCAGTGTATTTCTACAGAGGGATTTATGTCGAATAAAAGCAGAGTGAAGGAAATTACCGTATGTCCGTTTCATTCATTTTATCGCGCGAGGAATAACGTACGTATAATTTTAACAGACCGAGAAACATCAAATATGAATGCACCGCATGCACTGTTTAAGAAATTTCGTTACGACGAAAGTATGATTTTTTAATTGGACAGAAATGAAAACTAAATCTGACTGTCGGCTGTACTCTACAGCGGTTGTAAATCTTGGATAGAAGAGCGAACAGCAGTTCGACTGTTATTGCTAACAAATCACGTCCCCTTGCAATTCCAATCGAGAAACCGATATTGCGTGCAATCGAATGTCCACCAGTGGCCGAAAAGCATCACGCACATGCAACACTCGTAAGGAAAAATCGCGTGCCCCGAACGCGAACGATCGCGGTTTCTTTCGTCGTCGCATCAATAGCTAATCATCGACTCGATAAATAATAGATCGTTCAGACAGTCGCACCCAATAGAAAATCGTGAAATCGGTAGATGCGATACGAAGAATGAACTTACCGGTAACGAGGGTGAGAGCACACAGACAAGCGAAAGCACTAGTATCTACGTCGAGAGTGTGAAGAGCTTTGCTGAACTCGAGGATACTGTGGAGCCAATCGCCAAAGCTACGCTGACACTGCTCCAGTGCTAGCACCACACCGTTGCAAAATGTCAGCTTGGTGTCGTCCGGCTTTGTACGGTACGCCAGCCGAAGGACAAAGAGCTCCAGGCTCGCCGACTGGAAAAGTAACTCCTACGAGAAGGAGCAACGTCGAAGAAACAATATGAAAATTCAAGCTTGATTAAGAATTTTTGGATAAAGTTAGCGTTACGGTGGGCATTATACGAAAGCAACATTGCGACGTGAGAAAATGTTATTTTCACTTGGACGCCAGCAACCAGACAACCGGCCAATCAGACCGCCGATTAGACATGTCGTAGGCTCGTCAGGATTGACCTTTTAGAAAATGTACAAGCTATCGATCTCTTTAATGAAAGCTTCCCTTACGGATATTGTGTCTGGACGTCGATACATAATGAACAATATAACGTGACTCGCGCGCATAGTTGCATAACGACACGAAGAAATCACTCGAGATAGATGGGATTTAATGGAGAAGGTGATTAGAGGATTGAAGAATTTTAACGAACCTGATCTTCCCGTACGAGGTCCGTGAAACCGGGGATTTTGTCCGCGAATGTTCGAATCACGTCGATCGAGGTTGTGAGAAGATTGTAGAACTGCTGTGTCTTCTCTGCCTCTGTGATTGGTGGATCGCCGGGACTCGATTGTCGGTACTGTGAGTAGTCTAAGGATGCCTGATCAGGCGTGGTGTCCAAGTGTGCACGAACCAGAGCTGTGATCAAGGAAACTGGTGAACTTGGTGGTGATTCTTGAGGAGATTTGGGCTTGGATGGTAGCCTACCCCGACGGCCTTTTAAGGAATCTGTCCTGACAACCTGTGAAATGGAAAGAACCCCTGTATAGCACTTTGACGGAGATTAGGGAAGATTGCAATTTTCCTCCGCCTTGAGAAATAAGATTTCAACTTCCAAATTTGGGGGAAATTTGTCAGAAATTAGAGAGGGTTGCAATTTTTCACCGCCTCGGAATTTAGTGTAAATTCGATCAATTTACCTCCTTCACCATGCCAACCATCAGGCACTTCTGGAAGCGACAGAATTGGCAACGGTTCCGCCGGCGTTTATCCACAGGACAAGCTTTCTCAGCCAGACAAACGTATTTCGATCCCTTCTGCACGGTCCTCTTGAAGAAACCCTTGCAGCCTTCACAGGTACGCACACCGTAGTGCTGACACGCCGCTGTATCACCACAAACAGCACACAATTGACTGGGACTGGGTGGTGCTCGTTCGTTGCTGGTTCCGCTTCCGGGCGACGGGGAACTGACAGAGCTTCCGGTGCTGCTGTTTCCGCCACGAGCCTTCGGTGATTCTATGCTGCCGCTACTATCGATAAAATACCAAACTTTACGATAACAAGCCACCGAAAAAAAAAAGAAAACTACATAAAAATCTTTATCGTCTTCGAAAGTGTGAAATTCAAGAAAAAAACGATAAGACACTCTAGCTTGGACGAAAAAGACGTGGGAACATTGAAACTGTTTATTCCTATGAATAATTCATTACACGAGACACAGACATTCGTATCAAACTTCACCGACATCTATCGGGTGTTATAAATAAATCAAACAGGAAATTGACTGACTTAACACAGAAATCAATTTGTTCTGCCGTCTCGAATAAAAAAAGAACGATAGGAGGTTAAAAATCAATGTAAATTATTCATATTACCTCGCAGACTCTGACCTCTGAGTGGGTAGGGATGCTCTTCGCGGACGAGGCGTTCCAACAACCACGTTGTCCACGTTTGGATAAATGTCTGTAGGTGCAACAGGGGTGGCGCCTCCGGTTATGGCAGGTGGTGGACCGTACACCATAGGTACGCTGACAGCAGCACCATACGGCGAGTCTTGTCGATGATTCGACGGCGATGGAACAGCTGTTGTCGGTGTAGGTGCCGTCTCTGTGGCGAAGTAACCTTGATGATGATGATGGTGCTGCTGTTGCGGAGGTGGCGCAGGTTGCTGTTGCTGAGGATGATGGTGATGGTGTTGCTGTTGCGGCTGTTGCTGGTGGTCGTGGTAGGGCAACGTGGGTGAGAATTCTGTGGGATAGTGTCCTGTTGCGCACGGATACACCGAATTGTCGTAACACTCTCCGTCGTCCATTTTAATGCCGAGAACTTGAAGCTCCTGCCTGGTGTACCGTTGGACAGTGTAGGTCTCTTGGAAGCTGGGCAATGGTGTAGAGCTGCGTCAGAGAATTAAACGAAATTCTAGTCTCCGGTGATTCTTCCAGAAATTATGGAAAAAATTAGGGAGAGATGCAATTTTCCTCCGCCTTGAAAAATAACAATTCACACTTCGATGTTTGGTGGAATTCGTCGCTTTAAAAATTCAACCTTTATTCGTATTGAAAGAAAGGAAATTTAGGGAAAAATTGGAAGGAAATAATTTTTCTAAAGTTTCTCTGCAAAACTGTATTGAAATCGCTGCACGATCGTATGGAAAAATGGTTGAACTGGTAAAGGGGTCAAACATGATACCGACGAAGACTCCAAAAGTATACTCCATTGAAGGAAAGATCGTCTATCGTTTCCCTCGAGCATTTAAAAAAGAAATGCTGTTCCATCTGCGGAAGACGAATTGTAGGGTGAAAAGAAGGAGCTGTACCTAAGAGAATCCGCCTGGACGTCTTCTGGCAGAGGCGCCGCCGACGGGGGCGGTTGTGGTGCCGGCTGATGGTGCACAGTCTGCTGAGCTTGGCCTGACTCGTCGGTCACACCTTGAGGATTGCCCAACTGAAGCTCTGGAAAGGGGTCGAGCTCCTCGGGCAAGCTTCCCGCATCCGCAGGATCCGTGTATGAGGCGCTCAGCAGATCCGCCAGAGTGGTGCATACGAAAGGGCTCTGTAACAACCGGCAGTTTAAAACACTCGCTGGATCGTTCGATTGTAACCCAACTTTTCACTTCTTCAAACTTTCACGGGACTGTAAATAATTGAACCAAATCGAGTTTCTCACTCTCCGCAATTCAAGTCACACTGAATATTTCATTTCTGATTAATTGACATCCTGCGGAACACTACCAGAAACACTTCATAATTCAGACATCGGTGTTGTATTTTTAAAACCGAAGGGAATTGATTCGATTGGAAATCGAGCGCAGTTTGATACGGGATGATAAAGGATCGAGGTTTCTGGGTCCAAACGATCCACTTTTAACCCTTTCGCTGCTGCATTCGACGATATTCCTTTTATGGAAATGAAAAAATAGTAAAAATAAATTGCAACTGTTTTGAAACAATTCTATTTGCATTATAAAAATAAAAACGATTGCTCGGCGAAAGGGTTGAAGAATTACGTGAAAATAGCTGCTCCCTCGAACAGGTAGATAAACTCGAATTCGAAACTAGATGAAGGAACGTTCAAATCCTCCAGAGGTCAGATTAAACTTGTCGATCACGATTCCAAGTAAAATATCAACTAATCACTTTTTCTGTGATTCCCACGGAGTCGGACAACGCCGGTAGAGCCGTGCGAGCGGCAAATCGAAGTACTCGACTGCAAGGCGGTAACATTGTTCGACCACAATTGCGAGCCGTGTCGAGACATCGATGTACAGTTGAGGTGCGCAGTGAGGATGTCGGAGAGGATTGGCGAAGCGGTCTCTCGTATCGCGTGTTGTCTATAACTCACCGCTCAGACAGCCCCGCGGAGATTTCTACGTTGAACCAACGAATCGCCTCTTTCCAATTCAAACTCGGCTACGAATCGAAACTAACCCATTTCCTAGGCTATCCAACTTCTGTCTGAACAACGACGTCTCCAATTGCAAAGTAAACCATTTCACGAATAATCTCGCTTCGTTTCAGATTGAATGAAAGAAATTTCAATTGAAAAATCTCTATTTGTCATTTCTTCATTTATTCGAGAGTAAAGCACAATTTGCATCGCGAGTGGAGCGACGACACAGAGAATAAAGACACGGAAGAACGTCTGGCGAGGGAGGATATCAGCAGGAGGAAGGTGGTATGGGGTCGGATATTCAATTTGCCAGGTTGGTTCCGCTGTTGAGCTGACATTTCGTTCATCGCTCCCTCGAGGACCGTCGATCGAAGTCTCAGCCTGTCATAACCCTGACTACGGCCTTCTAAACGGCCTCCTAGCCATGTCTCAGGCCCCTTATCCGTTTCCCCCTCAGGATCTCGCTACGAGCAATTAGGTATCTAGCCTCAGCCGTGTGTTATCGTTTCTCCTACGTGTGTAACACCGCTAATTTCAACGGAGTGTTCAACGACGTGTTCCAGTGGACCGCTATTCGTTTAATTACGCGTGACGATCCACCGCGGAGGATTCCAATGAAACTTCGAGTCGGAAAATCTGCAATGTGGTGAAGGAAGGGATAGAAACAGGTAGGACGACACTCGAGATCCGGGTAGGTGCACGATAAGCGAATGCAGATGACGATCAAGAACGCCGGAACGTAGGAGGGCAGATCTTGTTGCGGGTCGAGGCAGACTCGCGCGGAGAGTTCGAAGACTTAAGACGGGGGACAGATAAGATAGAGGAATAGTGAAAGTTCCGTTCCACGAGCCTCGTGTGCATGCCTCTAAATACGGGATTCGATAATTACCCGGCTAGCTTTGCTAGACTTGCTCGTAGAAATTTCGTTTCGTTCGAATCACAATCTGTGTCCGTGTGTTGTGTCTCTTTCTCTTTTTTTTTTCTGAAACACCCTGTATCTTGTACGATCAATTATCGTCGAAAAGGGTGCACGACAAGTATACTTGGATAAAAAGAGGTACGAAGGGTTTGATTAGCATGCGAACCAGGAAGTGACACTTCTCCTCACGTTGCAGAAATCTGGTGAAAAGTGCCAAGAAGCTGGATCGTCCTATTTTTTTCTATTTAATTTCGAGAAGTATCAAAAATTCTTTTGTCGACTAAGCTTGAGTGAACACTAAATTAAGGTAAATTGTTTATAAAAGAAGTTAGTGCGACAACGAAGAGAGGAGAAGTTTCGACAACATCGTCGTGGACCGATGTGACGGAAGCTTTTGACGTAGTATCGCTCGAACGATTAATCGGCCCTTGCTAGTTACCTGCGTCTGTAGAAGAAGCATACTTGATGCTACCGTGAACGCGGTGGTAGTCGTGGTTGTCGAAGACTGATTCGTACAGGCTAGAACCGGAACGGTAGCTGTCGTTTGACGTTGCTGCCGATGACGGTGCGGTTGTTGCTGCTGTTCTACGTCGTTACGGGTAATAGCCACTGCTCGTTGGCTACCGTTGCTGTTGTCGCTGTCGCCGTTCGGCGAGTGCAGTTGCCCTGCAACAAAACCAAACACACCCTAAAGATATCGTCCTGCTGAGAATGTTAAAATTTTTCTGAACTACGGTAAATTGCTTGCAATCAACCCTTTGCCGTGCAATATCCAATCACCCTTGTGATTAAAGAACGAGTTGCACTTGTGGAAAAATTGCCAGACTTGCAATGTCAGGCACAGTGATCTCAAATTTTCAAGCGACAGTTTACATAGTCAGGAGAAAAATTGCGAAACACGAGGTTATCGATGTCCTTAACACGTTCTAAATTTTTATCCCTTGTATACGAGTGAAAGTTTCATCTTTAGCGCAAGTTCTAAAGCGCGAAGCGAAAGGATATTTCAGCCGGTAGCTTTCAACAAATTTCCATCAACCGCACGCTTCTTTCCCTCTTTCTTTCTTCTACAAAACGTTATTAGTGTACCGGTGCACGGCGTCTATCGAGAAAAGTTCGGTCTAAAACCAACGCGTTTATTGTCAGCGACGGAACAAAGAGGGACGAACGAGGAACGAAACTTTCTGACACGTATTCCAACGCGTTGAATGTACTCCGGCCAGACTATTTCTATCCGACGAAGATACCACGATCGCTTCTTTCTTTTGTCTAGACGCCGACGTCACAAGGCGAGGATTCTACTTCAGCTAAACAGGCTACGTACAATATCTGCGATATTGAGAGTGACCGGTGTCCATGGTGATCATGTCTGCGACGAATTTAAAAACGGAGGATCACGAATCCCGATGTGCAGAGGAGGAGTATCGCGTGGCACGAGATGCGAATTTGATGAAATATGTAGAAATTTCGACTACCAGGCCAAGGATGGCCTGGCAGCCAATTCGATACCGAAACCACTTTCACTGGTTCCCGTTTCTCCAGTTTTGACGTTATACTTCTTCCCGACCCGCTCTTATCACTACGCACGGCTAACTTATTAGTCGTCGAATCCTCGCCGTCGACTGAGGTCCGCGACGTCGACGTTTCGTCATATATAGGGTGGCTCCGACACCCCGGGGAGACATGAAATCATTGGCATTTAAAATACTACCTAGCCGGTGCTATAGACAGCCACCATACCCCCTGCTCGATTATTATTACGCGATATTATCCCCCAACGCCCGAGGGATGACTACGTTCCCGTCAGCGGACAAGCGTTCTTCTATCTTTTTCGTCAATTTTCCCTTGGAAGGAAGCTCAGATGAGTGTAGAAATAGATGTGAAATTTTTCGTACCTATCGTCTCTGTTAACTGGATGTTACATTCTACCGTGTTCTACAATTTCCCATTTTAATTTTCCAAGTGACAAGATAAGCGAAACAAACAGACGCGTTTCACTCAAGTTTCACCCCTTCGAGCGACGCAAGATACGAATCAAAGATAGTCACGGTTACCTAACCCATCGATTCCATTCAATTTCGCAACAACGACGCTTAAAGGACCACCCGTCGACTTATCCCGTCGTAAAACGATTCCACCATAGCAGAAACGAACCTACGAGGGGTGTGAAACTGTGCAACGCGATTTGACACGATAGCGAACACCAGTCGCCATCGAGCTGCGTTGAAAGAGAGAGGGGAGAGCTGTCCCTTGCATCGATAAATATCTATGCAAACGTACCTCCCATCTATACGGCAATAAATCTGAAACGCAGAGTCAGAGATTGATCATAGAGAAGTCTGTCGTTACTTGTACGAAAAAAAAAAGAAAAGGGAAAGCCCACACACACACTCTCTTCTACCTTTAACCTTTCTTCCCCTAAGGTTTATGAAGAGCGTGCAAGGTGGTTCGGTTACGGTTTCAGCCAATTAAGATAGCTCGAGTCCAAAACAATGAGCCCTATCAGACAGCGGGGATCAGCGCGAATCCGCGGAGGTGAGCCGAGCGAGTGGAACCGATCCCACCTACGGGAGCGCATACTAGAGGAAACAGGCTGCACCTGAGCCTGTGGTGCACGTGCACGGAAGGACTCGATTAACTTCTACAAGCGGCTAAAGCCCGACAGCGACCGTAGGCAGGGTAAAGGTAGAGGTGGCCAGGGTAGGGTAGCGAACGGACGGAGAAAGAGTAGGGTTAGCCGAACAGCGTGTGCCAAGTGGATTACACCGGTGTACACGGCCCTCCCACGAACCACGCCTCTCCACGTGCCACCACGTGCAGGCAGAACGCGCACCGCGCCACTTCTGCCTCCGTTCCTTCCTCGATTTGCTCTCATCAATTAACCACTCTACTCTGTTCCTCCCCTTTCTCTCGTTTCGCGGTAGCAATTTTCTCTCCAAGGTGTTTCGCCGATCTTCTTCGTCGTGGGATTACCGAACATGCGTGTGTCTCACTTTGGAGTGAGCGATGCTAGTAGTTACGGTACGGTGGATTTTGTTGTAGATGTATTAGGTGGTTGAAATTTGAAGCGAAGTCTAGGAAGCTGAAATGATTAACTCCACTTTCTGGTATTCTTGCAGCTTTAGCGTCAAAGCAATGCTTCGGGCTTAACTCTTGATAATGGGATTGTTGCGAATGTTAAGTCGTTGAAATAGGAGATGTTCGTGAGCCTCTCAGAAGCTGAAATGATTAACTCCATTTTTTTGGTATTCTTCCAATTTTAATAAATCTAGTTCGATGGAGTTAGTCGGCTTTCAAGTGGCTGGTACGGAAAAGTGGAATCTATAGTTTGCTATTTCAAATGTGAGATTTGATTTGAATTGTAATCAATTTACGCGTTTAAACAGGGAAATAGTGTAGTAGATGTAATTAAAGTAACTTATTAACCAAAAGAAATATTCCATAATGACGTACCAATTAGAGATACATTTGAGAAGTTCACGGCTGAAACACAGATTTTTATAATAATAGCAGAAACGTGTCGAAAGCTCCCACGTTAGGCACGATATCAAAACAGCGAACAATTAGTATCGATATAATATCTTTACCCACACACTTTGCCGGTGCAAAGGCGAGGCTCGGCACGAGCTGTTACTATGCCTAACTTACTTATAAATTAAACGACGGAGCGGAGGTGAGATATCCGATGAATAATAATTAACGATGAGCTCAGAGAACGGAAATTAGAGTCAGAGTTTAAGGCTGATCGTTAGACTGGTTCAGACTAGTTCACGAGCAAAGGAAACAGATTGGCGAAATAAAAAGTTGAATATTGATCAATTCATAAGTCACCTTAACTGCTCTGATCAGATAAACTGTGCATGAAATTATTTTCTTACAGTTTCCTCTTGTCAACTGATTAAAATAACAGTTTTCCCTTCGAACACCGATCGAACATGATTACGCATTTCGTATTACACGCGACTGCAAGTCATCGACGGAAGGAGAAACGCGCGCATTGTCGCAGATCATCGGCGTCAACAGGCAGATTCTCCCGTTGTGTAAGCGACCGGAGGAATTCCACGAATCCAACAATTGCGAAAGTGGTCGCAGCCTCTGCCAACATCCTTACGGTGTTACACATTCCATACGGATACACCGATGAGGATAAGAATCTCCCCATCGTTCGTTTTTCTCTCCTCTTTTCAAACCGTTTAAACGAACCATCCTGTGTACGAATGAAGCATCGATGACGTCACCGAGACCAGGTACCATCGACCGGTTGCTATCTTCGGACAATTAGACATGAAATCCCTGTAAATTGCCAGCTAATTGCAACGATCATCTCGTCGCGCGTTTTCATTTTACGCCTCGCCACGGATAATTGATATCCTTCATGAATAATTCATCGCGGCGGATGGTTTCTTTCTAACTCGACGGTTTTCCTAGGAAAACCGCAGCCATTAGGAGAAAGAGACGCGGACGGAGAGATACGGATGGAGAGAATGTGAGGAAGATGGAGAAATGAGGAGAGAGAGAGAACGAGACGGGGACGGGGAAATAGAGAGGAAAGGAAAGAGACGAAAAGATCGAAAGAGAGAGACAAAGATATAGAGGAGAGGAGAGGGAGAGACGTAGGCAGAGAGAGAAAGATAGACAGGAGAGGAGAGAGAGAAAATTGCTACTTATAATCAGCAGATGCAAGACATTTCTTCGTTTCAGCCTCGGGAATCGTCATGTTGCCGATCGATCGAGACGTCGCGACGCGTACATGCCAGCCAGGCACACCTAACGACGTTGGCAACCGACGGTGGGTGCGCGTGTGCGTGCACGAGAGAAAGTAGGACCTGATCCGTGGAGTCGTACGCGACACATAATCGTGCCGCGAGATATCTTCGATTTAAAGCTCGCATCGGTTCGCCCACACGAGTCGAACGTCTCTCCGGTTGGACGATCGTAATTAACCCTTTCACCGCTAAGTAGGGACAGTCGTGTGCCGGCCTGTCGTTCGCTCGCTCCTTCCTTTCAGCCGATCGAAATTTTTGTCCACCGTCACGGAGCTTTAAAGTCTGGTTATCGCTTACGGAACGAAAGCTCCTTTGGAACTGGGCCACGAGACAATTTATCCGGGGCAAGAAATACTCTCAGAATAGGGAGAAATATCTTTGAGACGATTCTTAGAGAGTGACGAAGAATCGAGGCTGAGCTTTACGTAGAATTTTTACAACAGCGAATCGTGAAAATGTCGAATTTCATTATTCCGCGACAGAAATCTCCGGAAATAATGACAATTCATCTGAAAATGTCTGAAAATATTAGACGTGGAAATTTTTCAAAATGATAGACAGTGATTTCGACGAAGCATAGTTCTCTGTAGATACAAAATACACGTCTTCGAGATTGACGCCCGAGGGGCCACGATACTGTAGTGCTAATTTTTCACGCGTATCCATCACTTTCACTGCTAAATTGGCACAATTTTCATTTTTTCGATCGTCCTCCAAGAAGATAGAACGTTTCTTTTCATTCTCGTAGAATCTATCGATAGGAAACAAATGACAGAGATATAAGAGAAAATCGATCATCTACCGATCGTCTAATAAATTCACGAGTCACTTTTCAGCGTCTCAAACGGTGGAATTATTTCCCTTCATTAATCTATCTACATTTTATGTCATATATCTTCGCGC